TTGCAAATGCATAAATAATGTTTTGATATATTAAACATAAAACGTTGAATACTGTTATTTGAAATTATTTAAATAATAAAAATAATTTTGAAATGTGAAATAAAAAACCGCCAGCAGGTGGCAGCAAGCAAGTCACTGTTAATAAGTGAGTCATTGCGACTGAACCGATTCATTTTAAACGGTTGATTCATTCAGGAACAAAACCATGTTGAATCAGAGATGCAAAACAGCATTGTGGCTGTGTTTGGAATTATTTTTGTTGTCGAAATAGAACAAAAACAGGTAATATGGTGCCTAAAGCGTAAGTCTCTTAATTAACTTATTGTTTTTTGAACTGTTGAAACCGTTTGTAATCATGGTAATTTTTGGAGAAAGAAACGGCACTCTTTGTGTGATATTGATTAACTATATGAAATGATATAAATATACGTTTTCTGTCGCCATATCTTGAATTTTGTGATCATTTAAATGTAATCATGCAGTGAAAGAACGCACTCTAAATGCGCACGTGCACTAGTCTAGACTTTTTAAAAAGTCTTTTATATTGGCCAATGCTGCATTTACAGTATTTGATCAAAACTACAGTAATATTGTGGAAAAGTATTACTATTTAAACTAACTTTTCTATTTTAATGTTTCTTAAAATGTAATTTATTCACGTGATGGCAAAGCTGAATTTTCAGCACCATTACACTAGTCTTCAGTGTCACATGATCCTTCAGAAATCATTTGAATATGCTAATTTGGTGTTCTAGAAACATTTACTTTTTATTAATGTTAAAAACAATTATGCTGCTTAATATTTTTTGGGGAAACCATGATACATTGACATGGGATTCTTTGAATCGGAAGTTGAACAGAACAGCATTCATTTGAAATGGACGTCTTTTGTAACAGTATGAATGTAATTTTATTTATTTTTTATTTTTTTTCCCCTCAGAGCTGTCTGATGATGACAACAGCATCGCCTTGATGTATCAGAACATCAGTGATCTTCCACAGCCCAACAGAGACACTCTGGCCTTTCTCATCATCCATTTGCAGAGGTAAACGACACACATAATCTCTGATTCTACTGTCTGCTTTATTGATGGTGCCACTTGCTAATACAAATAAATTATGAAAACCAAATGCGTTTCTTACCAGATTACACTTACATTTGTGACATTACAAGAATATTCCAGGTTTAAAGCATCTTGAGCAGTTTGTGTAAAACATCAGTGCCTTAAGGGCTTGTTGTATTGGAGGGTGTAAGAGTCTAAATGTTTATTTTTAAGCATTACCAGAAACTTTGCTTTAAGGATGATGGTTATTCTCTTGAAATGGTGTTACAGTTGTGTATTTGTCATTTATTTGTGGTGCTGTTGACATCAGCATCTATTCAACAGTTAAAATGTATTTAACCTATATTTGACAATGGCATTATTTCCTCAACAAACAAAACATCAATAATAATATTGTTACACAATTCTTTCCGGATTTGTATGCCATCAATCTTGGATACACTTTTTCTTTCCTCCAAATGTTTTGTATTTTTTAACAGCAATTATATGCAATATAATATGAGGAGCTAATAAAGGAACTATGTTGCAGACATTTACCGATCAATAAAAGTGATTGTTTGGGTTGATGTATTCAGTCCATTTACACTAAATTAAAAAACTAAAAAAAAAGTGATGTCTGGATAATTAAAGAAAAAAAATGTTTCCATCACATATCGTTTTTTTTTTTTTGTAAAGATTTATTTTTGGCGTTTTATGCCTTTTTATTTAGGTAGGACAGTAGATCGACAGGAAGTGAAGTGGGTGAGAGAGAGAGGGGGGTGGGATCGGGAAAGGTTGTAAGGATGGTTTCCCTACAGTGGTTCAGGCTGTAGGATTTCCGAAGAGAGAGAGAGGGGGCAGAGCCCCAAAAAGAGAGAGGCAGCAAAGAAAAGAGAAAGAGCAACAGTTGCAATCTTTTATCCCTTCCTTGACCATGTGACTAAAAACCAAATGTGAGACATTCAAACTGACCAATCAGCAGATTACAGCTTCGCCCACTGGGCAAAAGAGTGTGATAATTAGCAGACCCCCGATGTATACACATGTTGGCCTACAGGCCTGATCACTATCAGCACCTCTGTGTCTTCAGGAATGCCAAATGGCCCTTTTGTTACTGAAGATAGGTTTGGGACAGGAAAGCAGAAGTATTTGATCATTTTTGACCTTACAAGGTCCACAAGCCGGGACTCGAACTCGGGACGCCCGAAGCGCAAAGGTGCTACATGTCGGCGCGCTGCCCACGAGGCCATCGGCGCCGACACGCATATCGTTTTTATGATGGTTTGTGTTTCTTAGTTGAGTAACACTATCTATTCATCTTAATTTGGAGCAACATTCTTGTATATTAAAACCCGACACTTGTCTAGGGCGTTAGTTTTTAGGCTGTGAGATGGATTATTTCCATATAATGAGACTATTATATTTAAGTATTATTTCCATCATGTTCAGGGTGGCCCAGAGCAAAGATACAAAGATGGACATAACCAATCTGGCTCGGGTATTTGGGCCCACAATTTTGGGTTATGCCGTGCCTGACCCAGATCCAGTGACCATCCTGCAGGACACAAAACGGCAGCCGAAAGTAAGTGACCTTAATTGGGGTCTGGGCTGTACAAAAGTGTACTTTTTGGTGTTTTGGCCCAGTTTTTCACCAAGCTTTTTTTCTCTCAACCTTTCACAGGTGATTGAGCGTCTCTTGGGTCTGCCTGTGGAGTACTGGAGTCAGTTTATGATCAGCTACAACGACCAGGGTCGCAGTGATCACATGATCATCGAGAACTCCAATGTCCACGCAACTCCTGATAACAAAAGTATGAATTTCAGACTTCGGTTGTTTCAAACCATCACCTGATCTTGAATTCGGTGTGTTTTTTGTTGTTGTTTTTTTTCTTCTTCTATAACAACATGCTTTTTTTTTTGTCCTGTAGCAAGTATGTTTGGGCCCCTTACGACTCCTGACCAGCAGATGAGCAAGACCCCATCATCCAGCTCTCTCTCCCAGCGCATGAAGAATGCAACTCTCAATGCAATCACTCCAAAGTAGGCTATGTTTGAATCCTATTACGTTCTACCAGTGCTGTTCGAGTAGAAGTGAACTAACCATTATGAACATCCATCCTGTTTTCAGGTTTTCTAGCAGGAGCAGAGCTGCAGTCAGCGTCCCTCGCCTTTCTTGAAGAAAGTCCTTGTGGGTTACAACTGCAAAATAGCTAGGTGTACTGAAATTGTTATAATGAAGAAACTATAACCAGGAACGGAGACATCTCTAGATTTTTTTTTTTTTAAGAAATTATTTACTCAAATGTAAATTTGGATCAAATTTACGCACCCTCAAGTCAGCCAAGATGTAGATTATTTTTTTTGTTTGTTTGTTTTTCTTCATCAGAACAGATTGTGAGAAATTTAGCATACACTTGCTCACCAATGGTTCTTTTGCACTGAATGGGTGCCGTCAGAATAAGAGACTAAACGGATGATAAAAACGTTACAATAATCCACATGACTCCAGTCCATCAATTAACATTGTAAAGTGAAAAGCTGTGAGTTTGTAATAAAACATTTCAATGAATTTTAACTTCAAACCATTTATTTTGACTAAAATAAGAGTTTTCTCTCCATAATATTGCTTTCTCCGGTGGAAAAAGTCCTCGTATCTGAATCAGGAGTGAAATATGCAAAGATCAAGCACTGTTTACAAGTGAAAACAGTTTTAAGTTAATATTTCTAAACAAATATGTAGGTGAATTTTGATGTGTGAGGACAAGTGATGAACTTTTTCATTGAAGGAAGCATTATTATAGATTATAGCCAGAAGCGTATGGTTTAAAGTTAAAACACCTTAATAATGGATTTGTTTCTTACAAACAAACAGTTTTTTTTACTTCAAGACATTAACTGATGGACTGGAGTGGTGTGGATTATTGTGATGTTTTTATCAGCTGTTTGGACTCATTCTGACGGCACCCATTCACTGCAGAGGATCCATTGGTGAGCAAGTGATGTAATGCTACATTTCTCCAAATCTGTTCTGCAGAAGAAGAAAAAAACGCTACATCTTGGATGGCCTGAGGATGAGTAAATATTCAGCAAATTTTCATTTTTGGCTGAACTATTCCCTAAACTACTACACTATTGTGCCTATCTATCCAGACTTTCACATGTTCGTTTGTCAGCATGTGCAATTACTGCAAGTTCTGTAAATATGCTTCATTCTCCTTTAAATTTGGGGAAGGGCCATATGAGTGGAGTGTTCTTGATGTAGTTCTGGAAAGCAGGATCTGAGCCCCACTTCTTCATAGCTTGTTTCTCAAGGATGGGGATCCCACTAACATGTCTCAGTAAGAACCAGACGAAGAGAGGAGAAAGTGCACTGAGATACTGAGGTCCACGCATGACGGAGGAAGTGGACAGGAACAGGCCCGACCATTGCAGGATCTCCCCCAGATAGTTTGGGTGTCTGCTATATGCCCACAGTCCATGATGAATAAACCTTCCCTGTGAAGACAAGTAGGTTTATATGATTAATGCCAATATACATGAATTAAAATGTCATATGCAAATTAAAAAGCACTCGGGTCAGGATTTCTTGAAGCTAAATTCAAAATGTTTAATTAAAGGTGAAGTGTGTAATTTCTGCATCACTTCCCCCGTCTGTCATTGGCTGGACAACAGATAGCCCCGCCCCAAACACTTCTGGTTAAACCAAAGTACGGTTTCAGTTTCAGGCTGGTTAGGATGTTCAAACAAACGAACCAAAAAATGGTTCACATATAATTTCTGTATGTTTAATCCATGTGAAAAAATATGCACTTCTCTAGTATTCCTAAAAAGATATAACATAAAAAAAAATTGGTATAAAATGATCACTGACAACCAGAGGGTTAAGAACAGCCAGTTTGATCCAGTGCATTATCTATTAGAGCACAGGCATTATAAAATTGATGCTATTATGTTAAAATATCTCTTTTATGATATAAGTTATATGACTTGGAGTAGTCTTATCAAGTTACTATTATCAGTGCAAGTTATTACTCACAGTGTTATCTGGATCACTCCTAAAATTCCACTTCTGCTGGTCGGCAATGGCCTCTGTAGCAAAACCCAGCCCCCATATTCCCCAGCCGATGTAGTCAGGTGGGCCCAGGGGCTCATCTCTTCTCTCACTGTTTAGAATTAGGGTGGGCAACAGGGTAATAAAGACCCACAAAGCTAGAAAAAAGGAGAAACAAGTTGATGGCAGCCTTTTATTCAGGGTTTAATAAAGTTACTTTCCTAGTTGTTCTTAGTGTACAATACTGGAATAGAATATTCAAATAGAATAGAATTGAGATATATAAGATAAATGCCTTATTCATTCATTCGTATGATCATTATGTGACAGAATAGAGCAGTATAGAATAAGTAGAAAAGAATAGATTCTTCTACTTATGTGATTCATAATATATAATATGGGACATTCTACCAGAAACGTACATTTCCACTTGTAAAAATCTTGGGTGAAAAAAATATCTTATTCTTAAATCTGAACGTTGAGTCATATGGAGGACATGTTAATCTATATGAAACGCATATCGTGCCATCTCAGCATGTTTTTATGATTGAAATAAATACATTTTTATACGCATTTCACCCCTAAAATGTCAGGCCCTGTCACAGACAAATTAACCATCAGTCAGTTTTAGACATTTTTTGGATGTAATACTTTTTATTCACTGTAACAAGTCAAGGACAGATCATGTACATTTCTGGTAGAATGTCCCATATAAAATATAGTACAATAGCAAGTTTGTTTGCTGTGACACTATTTTAGAATGATGTATAAAGACTGAACACAAATGGCCCACTGCAGCCATCAATTAACCATAACTATGCAAATAATCAATAGCAGTAGTTGAAATACCTTGCATGGTCCAGTACACCAAGAATGTCCCAGGGCTGTCTCTGACATTGTTAAATCTCCGGTCTTGTCCTTCCTTTAGGATTCTAAGAAAGAGAAATGTCCCGAGCCTGCAGGACAAGGCCCAATCGGTTACTTATTGACTTATTAACCAGACCTTAATGGATACATTAATACAACATGAAGCTGGACTGACTTCACTTTTATTAATGCTGTTAAAGCAACAAGACTCCAATAAATAGACCTGTCTTTGAATTTATTGATCACTTTTACTATCTATCTATCTATCTATCTATCTATCTAGCTATCTATCTATCTATCTGTCTTACCTTAGACCCCAGGCAGTGACAAGTCCAGTTTGTACGTTCTGTCTAAAGTGGCCATTTCCGCCCCATATACGACTCAGATGAACCAGCAATATGAAGGTACCGGATCCTACAAAACAACAAAATTAATTTGTAGTTAAACTGATAAGATATTCAATATCCTGCCAGATATGGGCAGAGCAGCCAGTCACCTGAATCCGTCCATTTTTAAAGTGAGGTGTGTTCACTGAATATTTTACCAGTGAACCTAAATACAATTGGTAGCAAAGTTCAAGGATTCTCAAGAGCACACTTCTCAGAGAGAAAGAGCGAGGGAATAGCGCTCAGGGACCTGGGTTTGAAAGACTGAAATGATTGGATAATATTTGTACGCCACTGAAAAGGAATGCAAATTGAATGCTGACAGGTGAGTAAAAGCTATTTTATATGTAGGAAATAAGACTTTAAATTACATGGATAATTCTCATATCCTCAAATCCGCAAGTTGTGATTACTTTCTACATGCCATGCATAAGTTGCTAATTAATATAGCTGTTAAAATTAATATATGCAATGTTAAACTGTTTGAATAACATAACACTGTTTGAACTGTTTGTATAACATAAACTTTTGTAATTGTGTTATAATGTATTTTAATTATCTGTACAGAGGTTTATGTTTAAAATGTATTTTTTCCGTTTAAATATAATTTAGTTTCGGGGTTTGTGCAAATCCGTTTATACATATTAAAATAGCATAGAGTTTTGCTCGTGTACTAATTTATATCTAAGATCATATCCGAGATTTACAGTTCCCGCCTCTATCTGCAGGATTGACAGTGACGTATCCAAAGTTTGGCCAATTATACGGACGGCTACTCTGTAGATAAATTGATCTGATTGGTTGAGAGGCCGGGTTGTCGAAACACACTTCAGTAAACGTTTAGGATTATGCCTTGTGGGTGGAGACGAATTATGGTGGTTTCACAACACGTTATTGTAGTAGATAACCATCGACTCGTAATGCAATTTGATAACAACATTTTTTTTCACGTTAATAAAAGTTATAAAAAAGCTGCATGAGTTGCAACGCAACAAAACAACTACAATATTTTTTAAGGCGAAATATCATTTTTATGTGTGCATACTGCATAAACATTGCAAATACGACGAAAGCAACAGAGAAAATATTACTATATCAATATCGTGTGACTACGCCTTTTGCATAAATCATTTACCTGCCAAGTCGTAAAACTTTTCCGTTTTGAAAGCAGACGCTAGTGCCCACCCGACCCACTGAATGGTCAGGTCGGTGACAGCACACTTGGCCAACGTGCTTCCCATGATCATGTCGAGCAGGTCCTGAAGAAGCAGCAATGTTACAAACCCGAGTTCATTCAAAAAAGCAGAGCGAAGTTCATAACATCCACATTTGTGAGGAAGAGGAGTGGCCAATGCTGCTTCTGTATGTAACGTCGCTGTTAACGTTATTGTTACTGTAACAAACTACTTATGGGAAATGTAGTTTGGAAATCTCTGTAATGCTTTTTATGTCTTACTGCTTATAGAGAACAGAAAAGAAAAGGCATATGTGACCCATAATAGAAAATAAAATAATAGAACAAATGCAAAATTTTACTTCCACTTATTTGATTCAGAATAGAATAGAAAAGAAAAGGGAAATGGAACAGAATAAGTTGAATGTTTGATCTTCATTATGTGATATAAAATAGAATAGAACAGTACAGAATAAGTGCAAAGTTCAGCTTCTTATCTCATTTCTTACATTTATTTATATAGTGCTTTTTTTCAATATAGATTGTTTGAAAGCAGCTTCTCAGAAACAAATAGGAAAATAACAATGTTAATGTTGCAAAATTAATACATTTTTCAATTTCAGCTGAAGAGCAGCAATATTGTCATTATTCAGCTCAATTCAGTTCAATGTTGATTCATAATATAATATAGTATAATTT